TCTCTCTCTCTCTCTCTCTCTCTCTCTCTCTCTCTCTCTCTCTCTCTCTCTCTCTCTCCCTACAAAAATTGTGAAAACAGATGAATATGTGTTATGAATATCCGAAAGTATTATTTAATATTTTTATAAAAATAAATAAATTTATTTAATATCAAAATATCGTTAGGAAAAGGCCCTAAAAATATGTAATCAAAATTCATCACAAATTTGATAATAACTTGAAAGTGGAATAACAATCCTATTTTGAGGTCATTTATAAATAATAAATATAAATCTGATTAGAATTAAAATTAAATTAATTTTTATAAATATAATGATACTTTTATTATAATATTAAAAACTCTTGTGATGTAATTGTTGAAGAATTTAATGCTTAAGTTCACACATCAATACAACAACTCATTTAAAAAACTTATTCCACTTTTATTTCACTTAAATTACATTAGAAATTATTTCCATTTTCTATACATGTTTTTCAATGAAATAATTGTGCGAAAAAAGTGTAATTTTTGTTGAAAAATGCTAGAAATTGAAAACAAATTTCTATTATTCGTCGAAATAATATCAATCATTTACAGTATAATTAAATTGTTTTAAATTTTACTAAAACCTTTGGTTTAAATATATGTCGCAAAAACATAATTATGGTTTCAAATGTATTTTAATTGGATTAGTAGTTTTAGTAATCAATTCGCACATGATTGAACGATACGGAATATTACAATAAATTAGTCCAAATATCTAACTATATTACTCACACTATTAACTAAATTGCTGCATTAGTTAACCAAAATTACATTTGAACAAAATGTCTAATGTATAATTTGAAATTATTATTTTCTAACTTTATCATTATAACTAATTTTTATTACCACGTAAGTAAAAATAACATGGGCGTATATCTGTACAATAATGTTAATATCGATGAATTATATTTTATGCTTTTTGCACATTCCTAGACCTAACTGTCAGTTTAATTGTCTCTTATATAAATTCCTTATCATTTAAATTGTTTATAAACTATGCGAATGTGGTTTAAAATCAAATATTTTAAGTTATTAATTAATATATTTACTCATTTTTGTGTTTGATTAATGAATTAAGTTTTTGCATATTTTGATTAATAACTACTGATATAATCTGATATAAACTAAGACATAATTATCAGATAAATTAATATGATTTTTTATTCGTTGAAATAACGTTTGATAGTATTTTATATATTGTTATAAATAGCAATGTTATCTGCAATTGTTTTATAGACTACTTTACGGATATTTAGTTGACAACTGGCTTAGGGTCTCAAGTATTTTCATACAATTAAGTATATAAAACAAAATATATTAATAAATAGCATTTTTGATCAAAACAAAAATCATAATATAAGCACTCGTGAAATTGAAATCAATAAACTGCTTAACAGCAAAAATTTATTACATTTTCCCCAATTGATTGATTCCGGTATTACTGTTAATAGTTGTGAACGAATTTTTCTATACTTAAAAAAATTTAATACCAATTTATAAATAAACTGATTATCGTTCCCATTATTAGCTAAAGCTATTTATATTTTTCATTATTTTGTGAAAAACGCAATTTAAAAAAACCTTTCAATTGACTAAACATTTCTTATAATATGAAACAAGATTTAGCTCTTAATTAATTATTTATTTCATAAAATAAAAATTTTATTGGAATAACATTTCATTATAACAACTATTACAGGAATTGCTGTACTTTTTTGTTTTCACTACTATTTTATGATAACAATTACCAACATTTAAATTAAATGCTTAAAAGTTGTAAGTTTAAATAGATACATGTAATATCTAATTAATAATAGTTAGTAGATAATTAATGGCAGATATAATGCACATAATAGACTACAGAATAAAAATTGGATTTTTGGACACAAAATCTGAATCTAACGCATGTTTAATATAAGGAAAATAATAAACAATTAAAGCTAATAAAAAACAATCGATCGCAAAATGTGTACAAATATTAAATCAATAGTCAACTTATTGTCGGGAAGTGTCATGTAATATAAAGTATAATTGCATTCATTTTGAATACATTGCTGTGTTTTACAAATTGAATTGAAGTAAACGACAGTTGTTGTTATGAATTGCATTAATTCACAAGTGGTTTGAATTATAAAATAAAAAATCATTTTATTTTAATTACAAAATTCCTAATTATAATAACATTTTTGCAAATTTATTATTCTGTTGCAAAAAAAAACATGACTCAATTAAATCATGTAAATTATAGGTATTTTTATTAATTAAATTATCTTTGGCTTAATTTAATACAAATTTTTAAATCATCTTTTGATTATTAAAAATTAATTAATTTTAAATTATTCTTTCCTTATGGATATTTGTGTTATTAAATACTCTGATATAAATTAAATGTATTAGATTATACAAATGGCTTTATAACATTGTTTTTTACTTTAACTTGATGTCAATTTTGATTTTTTAAAATGCACTTAAAATGCATTACATTTACATGTAATATATTGTTGAAAGTATGAATTGTTAAACGGTTTTAACCAAATTATAATCTCTAAAATGGCCAACACTTCCCTTCGATATAGTTATGTGTTTGAATTTGAACGTAATTTTAACTACAATTACACCACTAAATGGATGTCCGAGAATTGGATGACCAGCTTTTATTTCATCACAACTTATTTGATAATTATATTTGGTGGACAACAATGGATGAAAGATCGGGAACCTTTTAAATTGCGATCGACGCTATTCTTATGGAATCTACTTTTGGCCATGTTTTCCATCAGTGGAACCGTTAGGTAAAGCTTTAAAAATAGCCGCAAATTTATTATTTTACATTTCAATGATCACTCGTTTTACTGAATAACTGAAGGAATGATCAAAATTGTATATCCATTTGTAGAGTAATGCCGGAAATATTATCTGTGATACGAGAACAGGGATTCTTTGACTCGGTTTGCGATAACGGATACATAACACGAGTGAATGTGTCGAGTCTATGGACGTGGCTATTCAAGAAAAGGGCGCCGAATATGCGAGTTAAAACATAAAAATAACATATATTTAGAGTTATAGAGAGAGAGAGAGAGAGTCAATAATTGCCCGAAATGTGTTTAACCGAAAGCATTGGTCGACTTTAAGACATGGAATGAATGCGCAAGTCTTGAGACGAGCGGTTGTGTTGGAGCTGTTGTCAAGAATACAGCGAAAACCAGTCTTTTCGTAAGCATTTGTGTGTTGAGAGTGTATTAGATGTTTGTGTTGTACTCCAAAAGACTCAGACATTTAACTGAATATCATATGAGAGGCAAATGAATGGTCGAAAGAAAAACTAGTAAAACGACTTTATTTTCGGCTTTGCATTGTGTTTATTATCTCATTTTTATAACTTATTATAAGTGACGACTGAATGCGAGTTAAAACATAAAAATAACATATATTTAGAGTTATAGAGAGAGAAGAGAAAGAAAAGTGATGTAAAAATAAGAGTCACTGAATTGGTTAGTAAAGCAATGGCTCATTGGATGCATACCTTTAAACTGGATATCACTTCTTGGATGACCTGATTTTCATCTTCAGTCCATTTGAATCGAGATTTTTGTTTAGAAGTGCTTTTGCTTTGGCTTTAGTTCACTTCGAAAGTGATATTTTCTCGTCACTCAAACTCTATAATAATTGTCGGTTTCACTCCCGGAGCCTATTCTTGCCCTCAAACCAGTGCTACCGATCGCTATATGATTACTGATTATTGGCAATCGTTATTATATTAATGATAACTCGTATCCCAAATACACCTGTCATTTAACATCATTTAAATCGATGCCTCAAATGTGCACAACTATTGTATAATGAATGGCAACCAAAAAACAAATTAAGGTATTTATTGTGATTATTGAATGATTTATATTTCATATTCATTATTCTGTCAATTCATATATATTGAGATATTTATAAATTATTATCTATTTTAATATTAATATAAATCTAATTTATCATGTATTTATTTTATTTAATTTAATTCACACTTATTTATCAGTGTTTTGTGGTTAAAATCAATTATAATTCAGTTGAGTATAACTCGTATACATAATGAAAATCTAATGAATATTGATTTGTTTTGGTGGTTAGAGAGCTGTCATATCCAATACGATAACAATGAGATTATTTCAATGCATTTAATGAATTTTGATTAGTGTAATGAAAATGCGATAATAGTTTGATTTATTGTAATAAATGAGTGAAAATAAATAAATTACTGTAAAATAAGTAAA